AGCACGAGTAGGTTTCTGGTTTCCCCAGACTAAAACCCCTTAGGGCTGAAATACAGTTATCGCCGATAGGAAATTGTGCAAACGGCCTCAGTTGGATCAGGAGTAAAACCAGACCTGGTTGGAATAAAAGTCTAGATCGGAGGGAATTTGATACGGAGGCTTTGATCAGCTCTGACCCAGAAGCCAGGTTTCAAATTTGCTGCAGAGGCGAGAGTTTTACCAGACTGGGCAAATGCCACTTGCTTAAAAGTTACTCACCAGGGGAAGGAAACGGTGCTCAGTGATGTCTAGGCTCCAGGCAGAGGTCCAGCAGGGTCAGCGAGGACTGCTGTAGAAGTTCACAGACTTTAAATTAGGCCCGAGGCCGCTTACTGGGCGCCTTGGAGGCACACGGGCGCATGAGAGCGCTCTGAACCCCTGCGGACATGGAAGTCACGAGGTTGGCCGTAGGTTCAACAAACGGCATTAATGCCAAACCTGCGCATGGAGACACAGCTGTGAAAAGCGTTCCTGCCCGTCCCCCAACATTGCAAGGGCATCCAAAGCCCAAAAGACGTTTCCTGCATGCACTCACATATAGCCCACTCCCCCTGCAAACCCTTCTCTTCTCCGTTATCCAGGACGCGCTCAGACAAAACCGCACATAAAAAAAACCCAAAATACTTCACCACCATTTTTCCCAACGGTATCGGCACCTGGATCTCGGTGTCCTGCAGTAACACGAGTACAAAGCGCAGTCCCGCGCTGGCAGAGGGAGGTCTCCTCCTGCGTTTGCAGATGAGCAAGAAGGACGTTTTGGCCCCCCCCCGACACAAAGTGAGCTTTGCCATCAGCTGCGTGCCGCTCAGGTTTCCCGGTTGTCTCTCTTGGCCCTGGTTTCAGCGACAAACGAGCAGACGCAGGAGACTGACTATCCATTTTAAAAAATACACCCTACTCATCACTATTTTTGTCATGAGTTAAACTGCGCTAGGGAAATGGTAAGCAAGAAAAGGAATAGAGACTAAAGATCAAGACTAATCATTAGTCTGGAGACATTCTGAAAGCATGACATTTCAAAGGGAAAAAAATACTAAAAACTGAAATCTGCTTTCAAAATTAAACTTCACCTAAAAAATGGGGCTATGTATAATTTAACAGTATTTTCTATATAAAAACTAGAAGGTAAAATTTCTCTATTTTGAGTAATTATATATACTTTATACACACACTGCCCTCGTACCTAGGGGAGGGGAAGATGCTAATGTTCGGCCAAGAAAGCACCAAGACTGACTTTTAAACAAAAAGGAAAGCTAGACCTACAAAAAATGTAATTGCCTAATAAAGCACATTATGACATAAAGAATTCACCTGAAATACCCATTAGAGATTATGTTATGGAGAAGTACAATGGTATTAACACTTGTAGGTATTTCTTTGCAAAAGTTCCTCTCGTGTGCATTCTAAGAGAAGATCGTTTACATGAGTCTCTGTTCCCCCCCCCAGCGCAGTTTTTCATGCATCCTCAAATCTGTAGAAACCAAAGAAGAGAGCGCGCCACAGTTTTAGCTCCGGATTGCTGGAGCACACCAGCTGGATTTGAGGGGAAGATCATTCTTCCTGCTCCCCGTAGCCTTTTCCAAATGGACGGTATCTTAAGCGCTTGCAGAATATTTTATGTGTTATTTGGCGAGACACCTTTCAAATACTAGCCACAAAGGTGGTTTCACTTACACAGCTTCATTATGTTTAAGGCCCTTTTTGTCAACCGTTCAAGGCTCCTCCCAAGTCACAGGAAGATTTCACCCCGCCCGTGTATTTCTACGGAGGAGCCCCCCCAGGCCAGCGCCCGCGGAGCTCTTACCGGAGATGACAACCTTTGGGTACCAGCAAGCAGCAAAAGCAACATTTTTTTTTTCTGGCTGCATCCTGGAACAAGCCGCTTCACAGGTTGGTCAGATATGAAACGAGCTCTTTATTGAAAACAAGGTTTGAATGTCAACAAAGGATTTATAAAGCATTGCAAGAATTAAGGGAGTAAACAATGTACTAAAGTCAATTAATAACACTTATTCTCATTGGATTTCAAATATCAGCTGTGAGTCCAGCATAGCACAAACCAAAACAGCTCCAACTACTAATCGCAAAACCACTTCTAGAAGACAAATAACATTCACCCAGAGGGAAGAAAGAAGAGTCACAATATAAAGAGAAGTTTTCTGACCACTTTTCTTCATAAAATCATGACATTTATATTTTAATATTGAGAACTGGAATTAAATACAGGCCCAGAAAGTGAAAAAATCTTTCAGAAAGAGTAGTTTGTACAATAGCAGTTTTTATTGAAAAGGCAGGTTTTGTTTCAAGTTTAATTAGTGTGACATGTGGCTGACTAGAAATCGGAGCATTCCTTGGGTTTCCATGAGCTTCTTCTCAACCTTAGGTCGAACTTCGCTACCGCTTCCCATACATACTGCCCGGTTCTCAAGGAAGGAGCAGCTCAGAACAAACCCAGGTGAAGAGAAGCTGCTGCCAGAGAGGAAAAGTCAGCGAACGGTCAAGTGCAGAACGTAACAATTCCCACGCCACAAATAACCCCCCCAAGCGGCTACAGCCAGTGGGGGTCAGCAAGCCCGGGGAGATACCCACACCAAAACACGGCAGCGGACGGGCGGGGGAACAGGCTGGAGCAGCCTGTTTGCTCCCCAGCGCTCCTACCACCAAGGAGAAACTGCAACACACGAAGATAGCACAGAAGCATCAGGAGTACAACTGGGCAAAGTGATATATAAATAACAAAGCGAATAATCTGTTAAAATTCCAAGTATACACAAATACATAGAAAAATCACTTTCCATAGGTAACCCCAAGGCAGCGCGAGAGAACACATACATTAAAAAAAAAGCAAAACCATGTTTCTCACTTTTTTCTACTGAAAGAATACATGCAGAAAAAGGAGTCACATTTATAAAATTCAACACAACCAAAGGAAAAGGCAGCGTGTCCATTAGCCCGTATGCAAAGGAAGCCGGGGAGCGTGGTCTGTTACAACGCACTGTAGAAAATACTGTAACCTTGGATACAGATTGCAAGGACACTGGGCTTTGGCTGGCAACGTAATATCTGAGAAGATGCTGAATGCAACAGTGAGTCATTTTAATGACTAAGATATGTAAGTGAGATGATCCTCATTGTGCAATGCCGTTATCAAGGGTAGCTACATGCAAAACGTTTGGAGTGTTCCCATGACGTAAAGGTGTTCAGTTCAGAAGAACGCTTTCTGCTTGCCACAAACGCAGTAATATTGCCTGCTGCCTTCCCTGCTGTAGGGAGCAAGCAAGCAGTAGTGTCATACTTCAGTAAGCTCTGCTGCAATTATAATTGTAAATGTCGATTCCTTATTTTTATGGGCCAAAAGACATGCCGGATACATCTCAGAGAGGGAACTTACTTGCTTAACGAGTACATTAACAAGTACAAGAAAAACATCACTGAAAGATGCTTTTATGACAATATAGCTGGGACTGTATTTGAAATACTGGTTGCTTTAAGTTTCACACTGTGGCCTCTTTTATTTGTGGCGTTCTCTTTTAATTAGAAAAAAAAATCCTATCTAGCTAAGTGTTCAGGAACTGTGGTGGAAACCCACGCTAACAATAAACGCTCTTTTCCTAATATAGCATTTCATAAGCAACAGCCTTTGCGTCAGCCAGATACTCAAAACCACTTGAGAAGTCCCCTTGCTAGCAGCAAGACGAGGCATTTGCTTGGAAAGTCAGACAATGCTTAAGTGCTTCTGTACTTCAGCATGCGAAAGTGAGCGCTGGCTCACTGCGCTGAGCGGACCCCGAACATCGATAGGAACTTGCACTGGTGATGTGTACAGCAGCCCCTAATTACGATGGAAAACAATGTATGTGGTCAAAAGCTACGGTGCTGACTGCTGTAACTATTTCACACCTAATAAATTAAACAGAGAGCAAGCAATGAGTGACTGCCCTTTTCTTGATAATTACTGGGCAACAGAAGGCAGGCGGTCACTGTCACACTATTGAAAATCTGCCACTTGATTAGCTTGAGCTTGCGACGGGAGGCACAAGTTGCTTATTTTATGAATGAGCTAATTTCAAGCCAGCGGGAAGATTTATTTTAATTTGTCTCAATAAGGGGCCAAACACCTAGCACTCTTATTAGCCAAGATTGTTTCATTTGGTATAACAGTTCAGTATAACTAAGCCTTTTTTTTTTTTTTTTAAATATGAAGCATAATTTTTCCTCACTGTAATTTCTATTTCAGCAAATAACCACCGGTCAATGTCAGCTACTCATAATGGAGGCGAGATTAACTTGGAAAAGCTGTTGAGATCTTTGGAGAGAAGGGAGATTTTCTAGAGATCTGAGAAACTTAAGTCAAAGAATTAAGAAGCAAGTTGTACCCGATGGATATACACCCCGCTTTGTTCACTGCAGACTGAGTAAGACTGTATAGTGATAAGGCTCTTATAATAATGCCATGAAGCTCCCACTAGGTTTAAAATTCTGTAACTAGCACTAAAGCTGATTGCACTGTCATCTGGATATTGTATCTGAAGAGAGAATTGGGTACTTTAGATGTATGAGGAACATTTTGTGATAGCCTATTATACCAACCTCCTTTGTCCAGATAGGTGTACCTACCATAAGCAATGAAGTGGCAGGTGTGCAACAGCCCGCTTCAAAAAATAGCCTGCTTGAGAAGAGCAACTTTCAGTGTTAAATCACACCCACCTGTAGCAGGAGCCAAGGGCCGTCTTGTGCTGCCAGCTCTGAGTCAGAAACACCTTACTACAGGTAGCACTAGACTGCACAAGTTACACACGGGCAGCCCATCAAGAAAAGCACAGTAACATACAAAAAAGGTTATATATATATATATATATACACACACACACACACAGGAGCAGACACGCTGTATCAGTGGAGTCCAGTTTTTGACAGTGATGCAGCCACACAGTTACCAAAGGTGAAAACATAACAAATCATATCTGTAGTTCAGGACAAGTCCAAGGAAAGAGTTTGTCTATATTTACAACAGAGTAGCAAAGACTACAAGTTTTAAAATGCAGCTGCCTGTACTAAAGAATCCAGATATTATAGGGAAAATTTCAAGAATTTTCTCAAGTCCTTATCCCCCAGTACTAACCAGTTATGCATATGAATACAGTATAATTACAATACAGAACAGTGGAAGTATAAATATACGATGGCTCTCCGCAGTCTCATTCCTTCTAAGTCAATAATTCATTTTGCCTTGAAAGTTACTGTGACTCATGCATTGTATGCATTGTAATATTATAGCAGCAAATATTTAAAGAAAAACATCATGGTCCATATACCAAAAACATTAAAGAAAAGATTTATTTGCAAATATGTACTTCAAGTATTTAAGCGGTCACTTCCATGCAAATCAGTCTAGCATTTCAGTTTTTCTTGGAAGCTAGGTACTGGCCTCTCTCAGAGGTTTATGCACTTGGTTAGCAGACTGCTTTTTACAAAGACTAACCCGCTTTCATCTTGAGAAAGACTGAAATGCCGCATTTTTTGCCACACTACATTTTTTTCTGGTTATTTCTGAAACCCCAGCCATTTCAAGTGAGATTCTTCATGAGCAATTTGTATGTGACAGTGGCTTTAGCCCATTATGGTACAAAAATCAAACCGAAACATTTCAAACACTAACCACACCCCAAGCCTTTCCACTTACCCTATCACACCATTTACCCCAAGTGTCCTGCATTATTCGACCTGATACTCCATCTTCAGTGCAACTGCTTTCAGAGCAGGTCTGGCAAAATGAGACCTGGAGGTTTTGGCTCCACACAGTTGATCCAGAAATTTGCACAGCTTGCATGGTATTGGTGTCCTCCATACGCCAGCTTAAAGTTATCCGTTTCCGAATTAAAGGCCTAAAATCACAAGAATTGAAACAAGTGTGACAGTCTCATCTACTCCGGGATCTAGAAGCTAGAGTGGAAAATGGGTACTGCCCAGGTATCACCCCAGAATGGCACAGCATGGTAGGGCCCTCTCGCTCTGAACAGACCACCCAATAAACAAAATTTTATCTTAGTCTGCGAAGTGTTTGCAGGTGGAAAAAAAACTCCAACCACCACACCTGATGCATACTTTGCCTGTTACACCCTGTATTAAGGGAGCCATCTGATTAGCGTGCTGTCTGATCTGACATCTGGCAACTAACTCGCCTTGTTTCATGCATCTTCTACTTCTGCTATGTATCCACGCAAGATAAATGCTTGTTTTCCCAGCCAGTAGGTAGCTACTGCATTTATTTCACTGTGTCAAATTTTGCTGTGATTTAGGCAGGTGCAGTTCTTGATGTTAGTGTTATTTCAGGTTGAATTTGATCTACTTTCTTCTGTTAGTTGTATCTGCTTTACAATAGGAGCTTCTGAAGAGTGTGTGAAGCCATGAACAAGCTTCAAACATCTCAATGTTTGTTGCTAGGAGATACTTTCCAATGCTTCACAGCTACCTATTTAAAAAAATATTCTAACCCTATTCCCCACACCCTGGATTTCCTGCAGAGATGTCTAAAAATGCCATTGCCTACTACATATAGCCAAAAGTCAATATTTGTAGCAAAAAAAACCCTACAGTTTTCCCCCTTCTGCAACAGGCACGCAGGCAGCTACAAATTCAGAAACTCACTGCAGTGAATCTTCTACCACACAACAGAAGTAGCACAAAACCAGAAAGCTATTCACAAGATACAAGCATGCAGACAAGACAAGGGGGAGGCTCTAGAGCATGTTAGTTGATCAGATCACGTGTTACGGTCACAAAAAATGACTAGAAGAAAAGGATTCATGATTGGTACAATTGAGAATGACAGCTGAAGGCCAGTTAGCAGTTCAGCCTTCCACACTCAACTAAGAATGATTCTATAAAGAATATGTTTTTTACAGATTCATACTTTTCTAGGAAGCTCTTCCACAGGTTTCTCTTCTTTCTGAAATAACGTTGAAACCAAAAAGTCAGCAAAATTGCCGATATATGTTAATTGGTTGGCATTACTCTGTACATATCCTGGGATTCCCTCCCAGCTCTGCTAATTGCAATAGTCCCCTCCTGGTCATCCTCAGAGATGCATTTCATAAAGAAAAATCATTAAAAGATTTTTATTTTTTTAAAAAATATATATAAAGTCTTATTATCCCAGTTTCTTCCCCATTATGAACAATTTAACTCAACCCTTTATCTACATCTGTGTCATACCCGAAGCCCAATGAATATAGGACATGGACTATTTGAGTCCCATCTATAGGTCAGATTTTGCCTTTGTCACTTCCAGTTACAAATTATAGCCATGAATTTGTTTTAAATACACCCAAGGCCTAAATAAAAGTCCAAACTGTAAATTAGAGATGAATTTAACAGTAGAGGCCATTATACTTACTTTACTTCTTGAATCCACGTTTAGGAGGCACACTCCACAGGCAAGATCTTGGGCATTTTTAATCCCTGGACGCAGCATACAAGAAGAGAAATCCAGTGAGTTTTCATCTGGCTAAAGAAACGAGACAACAAAATTTAGGCATTTTCAGTGACTGAAAAAGTTTCAGACATCATGATAAAAATTATCGATCTGGTTGCTACCGAGAGCCATGGTATCACACCGGCAACATGGCAGGGATGACATATTACATTTTCTCATAAACTGATGTGTGATTTAATCAAAACCATTAGTATCTATTTGCAACCCTGCTATGCAATCTCCATCAGCATCAATTTGTAACACTCAAGCTCTTGAGAAAGGGTTAGACTACAAAAAGAAAGAATTAAGTTCCATGTTCCCACATCAAAAGGGGAAGAAACTTCTGAGGAAAGAGCCCAGGCGGCGGCTGCTACATTTCAACTGCAGCGTATTAAGAACTGGACGAAGATAAACAGTGGTATGCAACAACTATTTGTGCAGCTGCAAGGAAACGAGCCATCGGCCAGCACAGCTTTCACTAGTATTTGAAGTGGTGTCTGTATCAGTGTTTATTGTCCTGAATTCCACATTATTGCCTGATCAAAAAAGGGCAGTTGTTATCCTTTCTGAAGGTTTTTCCGAAGCTAGAATATGGCACAGCAGTACAAAATGGGATATTAAGGTTAACCAAACCATAGAAGAATTAAGGTCACCAGCCATACGCAAGCTCAGGTTAAAGAGAGGCAAAGGATGGGAGAATAAGCCTGCGAATAAGTAATAAATTAATATAGTCACATATTTTCCGGTACACAATCTTACATTTCAGCCACAAGATAAATGGTAATTTAAAACTTTGCATAAGGATGCTATAAAACTGTGGAAGTTTTGCTTGAAGATAGTAGTTCAAATAAAAACAATGACTAGAAATGCAAGAAGCTTAAAAAAATGGCGTGATCATGGAACACGTGTACTCTTAATCCATACTCTAGGTATGCTGATCACGCTCCCCTGCTGAATGGCTCAAGAATAATTGGAATCCTGAAAAAAAACACCCTTTAATCTTTAAGTAGATCAATCAAATTAATAAAGGCACTCTAATATTTGTTTACCAAATGCATGAGTGAAGCAAATGAGAAGGTCATCCTGTAATTCGCAGTGAAAAACCACAAGGCTGTGCATAAAATTACCTTGTAACAAAATCCTTTTAAAAGATAAATTAACCTTTCCAAGCACATGCCTCTGAGCTAGAATATTTCTCTCTACTTAACTGGCACTTCTGCATCATTTAGGATACGTGACTGCAACACCAGGGGAAGAAGGTATGGTTCCACACCTTGCAGTGACCCGGGTGAAGAGGAGAAACAAAAAGGGACTATTTTGAGAGCTACAGAAGTCAGGAGTCCCTGTCTCTTAGATAACTTCAGAGGTACTGTGTGTATATGAGAAGGCATTATTCGCAGCTCCTAGTATGTTTAAAATTTAGCTGGACTGCTACCAGCCAGGAGCCGCTGCAGCTCGGAGAACAGGTGGCCAAGCTTTGGACTTTAAGGTAATCCCTGTAATCTTCCAAGGAAAAGCACTTTAAGAACTAAATTTTAATCCACTTGCTTACATCAGGAGAGGATCCTGATAGCTTTTTAGATTGTTACTATCAACAATGCCAGAGTTCAAACAGATGAATCCCAGTCTGTTAACTTCATCTGCCAAGCAGTAAAATATTGAAAGTATAAATTTCATATTATGACAGGCTTTGTGCAACACAGGACATCACCAGAAATACCTGCTTGCCACCACTGTTTGTACTGGAGAGGTTTAAAATGTGTAAAAGGCGTGTAAAAAGGTACTGATCATTTATAATACCTGTTTTGCAGGGAATGACAGTGAGCTGAAGATGGCTATTTCAAGCAGAAACCGAGTAGTCTGGGCCTTACTTACAAACAAGTGTTTATTGGGGAGCAAAAAGCTTTAGTGGCCGTAGTAGCATTGCAAGGAGGAGGCTGCAAATTAAAATGCTCAGTGAAAACTTAACCATGGTAATGATCTGCTTATTGATGCTTGATGCGATGTACTGATACTAACTAAGAGTTAGACTCCTTAGGTATATACTGAGTTGAAGGGATCCATTATGCAAGACAATATCAAACACCTACAGAGGGATGATTCCCTAAAAATATGAGTTTTACCGTGGTTAAAGAAAGTAATTTTGCACACTGTGTTTCCTGCAACATACATACACAAAAAAGTGCAAGGTATTTAATGGCAAGGTGATTTTCTTGCCTTCTAATTGTGTGTATTCTGTACCTGGCCCCAATGTGCCCCTCTTTTTCCCAGTTCCTTTGCAGACCCTTCCCATGGGGCACTCCTTCTCTTAAAGGCTACCCCTCAGACAGCCCCTCACCATCTCTCCTTGTAACACTCGCCCAGTTATGTAGAAGGGTCTCAGGCTCCTACCAGGCTGTCTCAGAGCAATTGAGCTTTTTCTGGCAGTTCTATTCAGAGGAGGAAAAGCTATGTAGTCTGTACGAGGAACCAAAACAAATTTAGGCATTTCCAAATGCAGAGAGAAAGGAAAACAGTTTAGTTATTCCTGTGTTGCTACATTGTGTGCTCCTGTATCGTGAGCATTAAAACTAATTGCAGGGATATTACAAAGACAGGATATGTCCACATTATTCTGGCTCCATAAAATGGCTTATTTAAATTTTACTATATTTCCCTTATTGGAGAGGTCCACAGACACGTAGGATATCATCTAAATCATTAAGACACTAAGTAAGATAACATCCCATTTGTACATAAATAACAGTTTTCTTACAGAGAACTTTGAACTGGATTTCACAAACAAGTGCATTTCCATTTTGCAAGAGAAAAATACAAACTGTAAAGTTAGGACACCCCGTGAAGTCACTTTACATATAATTATGACATTTCTTTTAGTAAAGACATAGCTTATTTTTGGTCTTACCGTTAAAGCAGCAAGTGACATGAAGCTTATTAGGTTGTTCCACACTTTATCAATATCCTTCAGCAGCTGCTGGAGTTTCTCACTACAAACAGCAGTTGCTTTGATACCCAGTTCAACTCTCTTTGTTACCCTGTAGACTTCAACAACCCCTGTTGATATAAAACACAGTGGAGGATTGCAGAGAATTCACTGCAAGCACAGGTTCCTGAAACTTTAACTCAGAAATAGCACAAAATAGGCATGGCACATGAAAGGTGGTCGTGGACGGTTATTTCAAAGTAGTAGTTATATTTATTTAGCAGAAGAGTGGTTCATTATTTCGGTGCAGACAAAGATTAAGTGAAAAAATAATACCTTTTT